ATAAATTTTAAAAATTAAAAAAAAGATGTCTATCAAAAAAACAAAACAAAACAATGAATACTGTTATGCTGAAAATAAATAAATAAATAAATAAATAAATAAATAAATAGGCCGGGGTAGTGATTCTCATATCAGATAAATTACATTTTAAACTAAAGACACTGAAAACAATCTGAGGGGTTTGAATCGGCAGGGGTTGGAGGTTGGGGGAACCAGGTGGTGGGTATTAGAGAGGGCAGGAATGCATGGAGCACTGGGTGTGGTGCAAAAACAATGAATACTCTTATGCTGAAAATTAAAAAAAAATAAAGACTGTAGTCAGAGATACAGAAGGACAACACGTCAAATTTAAAGGGACTATCCACCAAGATGATCTAACAATTGTAAATATCTACACCCCCAATATGGGAGCAGCCAATTACATAAGAAAATTGTTAATCAAGATAAAGAGTCATATTGATATGAATACATTAATAGTAGGAGATCTTAACACGCCTCTTTCAGTAATAGACAGATCATCCAAGCAGAAAATCAATAAAGAAACAAGAGCATTGAATGACACATTGGACCAGATGGACCTCATAGATATATATAGAACATTCCACCCTAAAACAACAGAATACTCATTCTTCTCAAGTGCACATGGAACCTTCTCAAGAATAGACCACATAGTAAATGAAATCGAGTCTCTAATTTCCCTTTCTGTATTTTCATTGTTAGTGTATAAGAAAACCACTGATTTCTGTACATTGACTTTGTATCCTGCCACGTTACTGAATTGCTTTATGAGTTCTAGTAGTTTGGGGGTGGAGTCTTTTGGGCTTCCCATATAAAGAATCATGTCATCTGTGAAGAGAGACAGTTTGACTTCTTCATTGCCAATTTGGATACCTTTTATTTCTCTTTGTTGTCTGATTGCTGTTGCTAGGACTTCTAATACTATGCTGAACAAGACTGGTGAGAGTGGGCATCCTTGTCGTGTTCCTGATCTCAGCGGGAAGGCTGCAAGCTTTTTCCCATTGAGGATGATATTTGCTGTGGGTCTTTCATAGATAGATTTTATGAGGTTCAGGAATGTTCCCTCTATCCCTGTACTTTGAAGTGTTTTAATCAGGAATGGATGCTGGATTTTGTCAAATGCTTTTTCTGCATCAATTGAGAGGACCATGTGGTTCTTCTCTCTTCTCTTATTGATTTGTTCTATCACATTGATTGATTTGCGAATGTTGAACCATCCTTGTGGCCCAGTTATGAATCCCACCTGGTCATGGTGGATAATCTTTTTAATGTGCTGTTGGATCCTGTTTGCTAGGATCTTGTTGAGAATCTTAGCATCCATACTCATCAGTGATATTGGTCTGAAATTCTCCTTTTTGGTAGGGTCTTTGCCTGGTTTGGGGATCAGGGTAATGCTGGCTTCATAGAAAGAGTCTGGAAGTTTTCCTCCTGCTTCAATTTTTTGAAACAGCTTCAGGACAATAAGTGTTATTTCTTCTTTGAAAGTTTGGTAGAATTCCCCCAGGGAATCCGTCAGGTCCTGGGCTCTTGTTTTGTGGGAGGTTTTTGATCACTGCTTCAATCTCGTTACTAGATATTGGTCTATTCAGGTTGTCAATTTCTTCCTGGTTCAATTTTGGGAGTTTATAGTTTCCCAGGAATGCATCCATTTCATCTAGGTTGCTTAGCTTATTGACATATAACTGTTGATAATAACTTCTGTTTTACTTCTACTTCCTTGGTGTTAGTTGTGATCTCTCCCTCTTCATTCATAATTTTATTAATTTGGGCTTTCTCTCTTTTCTTTTGGATTAGTGTGGCCATTGGTTTATCGATCTTATTGATTCTTTCAAAAAAACAGCTTCTAGCAAAAAAAAAAAAAAAAAAAGATTATCCACCATGACCAGGTCGGATTCACCCCTGGGTTACAAGGATGGTTTAACATTCACAAATCAATCAATGTGATAGAACAAATCAATAAGAGAAGAGAGAAGAACCACATGGTCCTCTCAATTGATGCAGAAAAAGCATTTGACAAAATCCAGCATCCATTCCTGATTAAAACGCTTCAAAGTATAGGGAAAGAAAGGGAAATTAGAGAATCGATTCCATTTACTATTGCACCAAGAACCATAAGATACCTGGGAATAAACCTAACCAAAGAGGTAAAGGATCTGTACTCAAAGAACTACAGAACACTCATGAAAGAAATTGAAGAAGACACAAAAAGATGGAAGACCATTCCGTGCTCTTGGATCGGAAGAATAAACATTGTTAAAATGTCTATACTGCCTAGAGCAATCTATTCTTTTAATGCCATTCCAATCAAAATTCCACTGGTATTTTTCAAAAAGCTGGAGCAAATAATCCTAAAATTTGTATGGAATCAGAAGAGACCCCAAATTGCTAAGGAAATGTTGAAAAACAAAAATAAAACTGGCGGCATCATGTTACCTGATTTCAAGCTTTATTACAAAGCTGTGATCACCAAGACAGCATGGTACTGGCATAAAAACAGACACATAGACCAGTGGAACAGAGTAGAGAGCCCAGATATGGACCCTCAACTCTATGGGCAAATAATCTTCAACAAAACAGGAAAGAATATACAGTGGAAAAAAGACAGTCTCTTCAATAAATGGTGCTGGGAAAACTGGACTGCTATATGTAGAATGAAACTCGGCCATTCTCTTACACCGTACACAAAGATAAACTGAAATGGATAAAAGACCTCAATGTGAGGTAGGAATCCATCAGAATCCTAGAGGAGAACATAGGCAGTAACCTCTTTGATATCAGCCACAGCAACTTCTTTCAAGATATGTCTCCAAAGGCAAAGGAAACGAAAGCAAAAATGAACTTTTGGTACTTCATCAAGATCAAAAGCTTCTGCACAGCAAAGGAAAAAGTCAACAAAGAAGAAGAAGCAACCCACGGAATGGGAGAAGATATTTGTAAATGACAGTACAGACAAAAGGTTGATATCCAGGATCTATAAAGAACTCCTCAAACTCAACACACACAAAACAGATAATCATATCAAAAAATGGGCAGAAGATATGAACAGACACTTTTCCAATGAAGACATACAAATGGCTATCAGACACATGAAAAAATGTTCATCATCACTAGCCATCAGGGAGATTCAAATCAAAACCACATTGAGATATCACCTTACACCAGTTAGAATGGCCAAAATTAGCAAGACAGGAAACAATGTGTGTTGGAGAGGATGTGGAGAAAGGGGAACCCTCTTACACTGTTGGTGGGAATGCAAGTGGGTGCAGCCTCTTTGGAGAACAGTGTGGAGATTCCTCAAGAAATTAAAAAGAGAGCTTCCCTATGACCCTGCCATTGCACTCCTGGGTATTTAGCCCAAAGATACAGATGGAGTGAAAAGAAAGGCCATCTGTACCCCAGTGTTTATAGCAGCAATGGCCATGGTCGCCAAACTGTGGAAAGAACCAAGATGCCCTTCAACGGACGAATGGATAAGGAAGATGTGGTCCATATACACTATGGAGTATCATGCCTCCATCAGAAAGGATGAATACCCAACTTTTGTAGCAACATGGACGGGACTGGAAGAGATTATGCTGAGTTAAATAAGTCAAGCAGAGAGAGTCAATTATCATATGGTTTCACTTATTTGTGGAGCATAACAAATAACATGGAGGACAAGGAGAGATGGAGAGGAGAAGGGAGTTGAGGGAAATTGGAAGGGGAGGTGAACCATGAGAGACTATGGACTCTGAAAAACAACCTGAGGGTTTTGAAGGGGCAGGGGGTGGGAGGTTGGGGGAACCAGGTGGTGGGTATTAGGGAGGCATGAATTGCATGGAGCACTGGGTGTGGTGCAAAAACAATGAATACTGTTACACTGAAAATAAATTTAAAAAATTTTAAAAAATTTAAATCATGCATCTTTGGCAGGAATGCCACAGAAATGAGGTTGTAAGTCCTTTTCTCTTTGTAATTAGAAATTAATTTTGTGAGAAGCTTCTTTTAAACTATGTAAGAATTTCATTTCTCATCATATTGTTAATGTATTCATTTATTTATATCAGGATAGACTCATGCATTCTAATTTTATTAAATGGCATACATCCATTATTACTATTGTCTATAGTGATGTTCAGTTTATCCCAAATTTAGTTAGTGGCACCCTATTTCAGATGGATCTGACACCCTTCTGATATGTCCCTGTCATCCTTTGAGTATTCCTTTAGTTTATGGCATAAGATGTTCCAGCATCATCTTGTAATCCCCCATTCCAAGCCCTGAAATCAGCCATTCTTTCCTTTCATGTCATTCCTTTAAATAAATTGTGTTTAGAAATCAAAAAACAAATAAAAAATAAATAAAATAAAAAATTTTAAAATTTAAAAAGAAGAAATTAAATTTAAATTTTTTTAAAAGAAGGTGAATTTACCATAGCATTATATTAATGAATATTTAAATTTATGTAACATTGAGAGAGATATATATAGATAGACACAGACAGATGAATCTCTGAGTTTGGATTTCTGGGTCATACAATGAATTTCAAGTAAAACCATACGATCCAGAATTTACATGCACTGTTCTTTGCTAATAAAGTGATATTCGATGATTCTAAATGAGTGCATAATCCTTCAAAAGGGAAATTAAATGATTTTTAATAAATATGGGTTCAGTACCAGAAATGTCAGCTTAGAAAATCATTTTGATTCATATATTATAATTCTTTTTATAATAGTATCTACTAGATATGTTGTGTTACATATGGAGATTTTGAAGCTTAGATTTAAAAAAAAAACTACTATCTTTTCATCATTTTGGGTATGAGACATTGTGTTTGAGATGTGTTTCAAGTCTGACCACAGTAAATGATGTGACACGACAGGTCCAGTCTAAATGATTTCCAGGAAGCCCAACTTTACCCTCCACTGAGCCCCCACAGCCACCTAGATGCAGAGTAAGAAGAGTGTCTGTGCGTCACCTTTCCTCACTGTGGTCAGCTTATGAACATGAACAGGGCCCCATTTCACGACATCCTGTGTACTTGTCAACTCTGTTGGGTCACCGTGCAGCAGGAGCAGCACCATGTCCCCTGCAGTCATCAGCCTCGCATGTCTTGGTGAGTCCCAGAAGGGGACGAGGAGAGGGAATGCATGGTGGGAATATTGGCCTGGGAGGCTTGGTCTCCCCACAGCAGAACATTCCCATGGGGAAAAAGCAGACCTGATGGTGACGCTCAAGCCAGGTTGGGGGAGTGGGTGGCTGGGTCTTTTATGGAGATGGACAATCCATTGTGAGTCTTTCTTTCCAGGGTTCTTCTTCAACCAGAGGATCGGGGCACAAGTGGGTGAGTCCTTTCCCCAAACCTTGGGCTGCCATCCACTCAGAATAAGAGAATTCCTGTAATAGGAAGGCAGATGGCACAGGAAGTTGGGTGATGGTTTGACTGTGGGAGGAATTGTGGGTGAATCTCTTGTGAACTAGAAAGTAGGGGACCCAGGGAAACCCTAGTCCCAATTTTGGTCCAGAGACCCTCCCTACACCTTCTTCCCCTTGGCTGAGCCAGGCTCTAAAGCCATCTGGAGGATACTGCTCCTCAGACCTGGGGGTTCTAGGAGGAACTGGTGTTGTCTGTAGATCAGAGTTGGCAAGCAGTGCCAAGAACAACAGACTGTCTGAGGCTGGGACAACTACTCGAGCTCCCCAGCACACCCACAAGGGTAGGAGCCCCAGGCAGCTGCCACTGATGTTCTCAGCAGAGGGGAGAGATCCCCATGCCAGGACCCCTGGAATTCCAGCACATTCCGACATGGCACTATCATGTAACCTGCTTCATGGGTTTGCTGATGTTATGGCATACACATAGGTCATTACTCTTCTGTTCAGCATCTCCTTTGTCTTCTTTTACATAACTGACTTACATTACTAACACCTAGGAAGAGCCCACTGTTCAGTACTCACCCAGAACTCTCAGCTGACATGTGTGTTGTAGGAGGGGTTTACATGTCTGTGTGGTGTGGGGAGCCTATGTGTGGTGTGGGCATGATGGGAGGGGAAAGGAGCCATGGAGACTTGGAAAGAAGGGGGGCCTCTGAGTCAAGGGAGGGGAAACCAATACTGTGCCTCCTCCTCCCCCAGGTGGTCAGAACAAGCCCTCCCTCTCTGCCTGGCCAAGCCCTGTAGTTCCTCAAGGGCAGCATGTGACTCTTCATTGTCGCTCCCATCACAAGTTTGAAACATTCAGACTGTACAAGGACAATGACATCTTCATCTCCAAGCTCCACAGCACAATATCGCAAAACGGTGTTCTCATTGGCCCTGTAACCCCAGAACATGCAGGGACTTACAGCTGTCGTGGATCCTACCATGATTCCCCCTCTGTGTGGTCAGCACCCAGTGACCCCCTGGTGATTGTGGTCACAGGTCAGAGAACACCTGTCTAGAGGGGCTAGTCACTGTCCCAATCTTCCTAATGTCAGATTTCCTGATGGGAGTGTTAGTCAAGTCCATTTAGAACAATGGGAATGGCTCCAAGTATTATAGATAAAAGGGCATTTCATGCAGGTGGGCAGAATAATGGCCCCCCAATGATGTCTATATCATAACACTCCAAGTCTATGAATAGTCCAAGGGCAATTAAGGGTGAATATGGAATTAAGGTTATTAAGCAGTGGCCCTGACATGGGGAGATTATCCTGGATTATCCAGGTGAGCTTACTGTAATTACAAAGTAGAAGGAAGCAGGAGAATGAGCTTCAGAGTCATGCTGCTTGAGAGAGTCCACCAGCCACTGCTAGCCCTGATGATGGAGGAAGGAGTCACAAGACAGGGAATACAGGCAGCCCCCAGGAGCCAGAAAATGCTCAAGTTCGAATTCTCCCCCTGAGCCTCCAGAAGGAACCTAATCCTGTCAACCCCTAGCCCATAAGACCTATGATCCTAGCCCATAAGATCCTACCCCATAAGACCCATGTTGGCAGAGATAGACGTGGACATTCAGACAGAAAAGGACACAGAGGAGAAGGAGACAGACAGACACAGGGCACCCTCAGTCATTTCAGATCCCAGGAAATGGGGTGAGGCAGGGTGGCTCCTTCTCAATTTACAACATCTATGTTCTTAGGAATCTACAGAAAACCTTCCTTGTTAGCCCAGTCGGGTCCCCTGGTGAAATCAAGAGGGAACATGACCTTGGTCTGTTGCTCAGAGATCCTGTTTGAAAGCTTCATTCTTCACAGAAAGAGGGTATCCAAGGACCCCTTGTACCATGCTGGTCAGCACCATCATGGGGGCTCCCATGCTAACTTTTCCATGGGTCCTGTGACAGCCGCCCATACAGGGACCTACAGGTGTTTCCGTTCTCTCAATTGCTCCTCCCATGTGTGGTCTGCCCCCTGTAACCCCCTGGACATCATGATCACAGGTGAGACTGTCCAGACCTGTCCTCATCCTCTTGGAGATACAGATAAGACCTGGAAGCCCCAGGTGGTGAAGAAAGAGACAAACATGGGTTTATGTGAAGAGAGGCAGCCTTGGCAAGAGCTACACCAAGAGAGACAATGACAGAAGAGAAACAGTAGAAACTGCTTGTTAGAGGGGGCAGAGACAGAGAGTCAGTAATGCAGACAAAGAGCAAAGGGACAGATAGAGTCGTGTACACCCCAATCAGAGACAGGGTGCCCTTCCACCTTGAGTTTGTTCAGAGACCTGGGACAGTTTAGAATGTGGTTTCCAGTTAATGTCCATGCCCTTTTCTCTACCAGGTGAACCCAAAGACACACCATGTATGTGACCAAGTTTCAGGGCCAGGCTGGCCTGTCTCAGGCTGGTGACCGATGGGCCCCAGGTCCTCACCGCATGTGGCACCCACAGACGCTGCATGCACTCTCACACGCCTTCATCCCATGTCGTTGAGCCACAGTAGGCCCCAGGAAACCATGCTCCTGGGTGGAGGAGCCAGAACCAGCCCCTGTGTGGGGGGTGTTTTATGGGTTCCCAAAGCTGATTCTCAGGCCTATGTTGAAGGTCACCCAGGATGTTACAGGATTATTGAGGTCAAAGCCTACAGAGAGCTGCCATCAGAGAGAAAGCAGAGTCGATGTGTGCCAATGTACATATAAAGTTTCTGTGTAAATAGACCAGAAATGCATGTGTGCATGTGAACACACACACAGAATGGAGGGACAACAGAGAAAGACAGATGGATAGACAGACAGACATTGGCTTGAAGGCACAAAACACAAAAGAAAGGAAAAGGGATAGAGAAATAGAAAGATGGAGAGTGCAAATGTTGAGGGAAATTGGAAGGGGAGGTGAACCATGAGAGACTATAGACTGAAAAACAATCTGAGGGTTTTGAAGGGGGCAGGTGGGAGGTTGGGGGATCCAGGTGGTGGGTATTGGAGAGGGCACGGATTGCATGGAGCACTGGGTGTGGTGCAAAAACAATGAATACTGTTACGCTGAAAATAAATTAAAAAAAAAGAAAAGAAAAAAAAAACCCTAAAGGACTGAGACCAGAGAGTGGAGCACATACCCTGTGTGTCTGCTGTCCTGTAGTCGCAGTGGGCCCTCCGTCTGCACAGCTGAAACCAGAGAGAGGAGACGCCATGACCCCCACCCTCACAGCCCTGCTCTGTCTCGATGAGATCTGAGAAGGGGAGGGGACACCCTAGTCTGGAGGGACCTACCCCACAGCCAGGCCCTGGTCCGTAGGAGACCCCAGGCTCAGGAGGCTCATGGGAGGAGGGGATCTGCTAGGATTCGGGGCAAACCTCTCACAGGGACTCTCTTCCAGGTCTGAGTGTGGACCCCAGGACCCGAGCCCAGGCAGGTGAGTCTTTCCCCATGGGTCCCAGTCCCACCTCCTCACTGGGGACAGAGGTCACCCACCAGGCAGCAGGGGATGGAGAACAGCAGCTCTGGGCTGACATAGGGGAATGTCTGAGGGCTTGGGGCTGAGCTGGGACCTGGGGGTGGGGAATGTCTGTGTCCCAGCCTCTGTTTCCTCCCAGGGACCCTCCCCAAAACCACCATCTGGGCTGAGACAGGCTCTGTGATGCCCTGTGGGACTGGTGTGACCATCTGGTGTCAGGGGTGCCTGAAGGCCCAGGAGTACCACCTGCATAAAGAGGGAAAGTTAGAGACCAGGGACAGACAGAAGCCACTAGAGCCCGGGGACAAGGCCAACTTCTCCATCACACACATGACAGATGTATATGCAGGAAGATATCACTGTGACTATCTCAGTCCCACTGGCTGGTCAGAGCTCAGTGACCCCCTGGAACTGGTAGTGACAGGCGTGAGCCCACTCAGGGTCCCAGCCCCAGGCTCTGCCCTCAGGAAGGGGGAGGGCTCTCAGGTGTCTCCTTCTCACAGCCCAGCCTGGGGATAATGTGGGGGGTCTGAGCCCCATTTCACATGTGCTCCTCCTCCTATCCTAGAATCCCAGGGCAAACCCAGCCTCTCAGCCCTGCGCAGACCTGTTGTGACCTCGGGAGGGAACGTGACCCTCCAGTGGGGCACAAAGAGAATGATGTTGTGGGGGTGGGTGACAGAGATCCCAGAAGAGGACTGGGGACAGAGAAACAGAGCAGGTCACAGAAACCAAGGTGATGGAGATAGATGATAGATAGGGAAATAATGATGATGATGATAGATAGATGATAGATAGATAGATAACAGACTGATAGATCATGATAGATAGAAGACAGATTGATAGATGATAGATAGAGAGATGATAGATAGAGAGATAGGTGATAGATTGATAGATGATAGATAGATAATAGATAATAGATTGATAGATGATTGATAGATTGATAGATGATAGATACATAAATAGGTGATAGATTGATAAGTGATAGATGATAGAGATGATAGATGATGATGATAGATGATAGATAGAGAGGTGATAGATTGATGATAGAAAGATACATAGATAGATGATAGAAAGATACATAGACATATAGTTAGATAGGTGATTGATAGATGATAGATGATGATATATAGATAGATGATAGATAGATAGATAGATAGATAGATAGATAGATAGATAGATAATGCAGAAAGACAAAGACAAGGTGGAATGAGAGACTCATAATTAAAGTAAAAGGCATCTCAAACCAACAGATCCCAGGAGAGGCAGAGAGAGTAAGGCAGCACAAAAGGGAAAAAGGATAGGAGGGAGGCAAGCACAAGAAACAGTAGGAGAGGTGAACATGAGGGGACACAGTGGGCCTTGGGCTCTGGGAACAGGGGGAGAGAATTCTCAGTCCAGGTGTGAAGGACACTATGAGCAAGGAAGAGCCTCTCTGTACTGAACTGCCTCCACTTCCTCCAGGTCTACACAAGAAACCTTCTCTCTGGGCCCAGCCAGGCACCGTGGTGAGGACAGGAGAGAACGTGACCTTGTCCTGCTGCTCAGAGTGGTCCTTTGATGTGTACCATCTATCCAGAGACGAGCAGCCCCATGAGTGCTGGCTCGCTAAGGGGCAGAAGCATGGCAGTACAACCCAGGCTGACTTCCCTCTGGGCCCTGCACATCCAGCCCTGGGCGGGACCTACAGATGCCATGGCTCCTTCAACCCCTCTCCTTTTGAGTGGTCAGGCCCGAGTGACCCACTGTACCTTTCTTTCACAGGTGAGGAAGTCCAGAACCTGCCTTGTGTCCAGTGATTCAGGATAGATTTGAAGGTCATACGGGAGGGGCATCCTGCTGGTACTAGTGGGATGCTTAGGAGTTCTAGGGAGATGGAAGCATAGATAGAGACAAGGAGGGAGAGACTGGTGACTCACCTCCAGCATCCTCCTGCATGGCTGTGGTGACCCAAACTGGGGATCTCTGTCCCCAGGAAGATGGAAAGAGGTCATGGCAAACCCAGGATCAGGAGAGAAGAGGCTCGGTTTAACATCGATATCAGATGTTGCATTGGCCCATCACCATTACCCACTTCCTAGCAGCCCTTCCTCACCTCTCGCCCACAAAGTGCTCTCCCAGGTAGTATGAGTGTCTTTACCACAAGATGGAGAAGCCTCCTCTGTAGTAGAGGCCCTTTTACCCTTTTCATCATCAACCTCTCCCGTCTCCTCTCAGCAGCTTGAAGCCCCAGGGAGTCAAGGCCCCAGAGATTCTGGGGAGGGGTTCTAGGAGCTCCCAGGAGCTCAGTGTTAGATGATGAGGAGCTTCAGTGGATAGAAGACAGTCAGTTCCACTTCTCCACCTCTCTCCTGGCTTGTTTTTTATGAAACTCTCCAATAGTCGTCTCCCATCCACAAAACCAACCTCCAAAACTGGTGAGTAAAGAGTCCCTTTTATCCCTGTTTGTGGAAACCTGACAGAGAGAAGCCTTGGGTTTGAGTGTTGGCTCAGCCACCTTCCGGTTCTGTGATCTTGGGCTTATTACCTTCCCTCTCTGATCCCGAGACTTTATGACAGCAGAAGCAGTCTGGGTCAGCACGGGGCCAGTGAGGACTCTTAACCTCTAATTTTCTGCAGCAGAGACCTCCTCCAGGAGAGGAGGGTGAGAATAAACCTGATCTCCTGGCTGGGAATAATGCTGGGCTTACTCTGTCCCCATTCCTAAGTGGAGATAAGATTTGTGGGGACTTGAGGGCAGGGGGAAGGAAGAGAGCATTTGGTGAGGGGCAGGCAGTGCTTAGAGAAGTTCCATTTGCCAAGAAATTAGCTCTTGTCTTTCAGGCTGCAACCGTGAGGTACCCAGTAGAGGGAGAGAGAACTGAGAATGCAGTCTGCCACCCAAATTCACAATTGCCTCATTTATTAATTCAAGCACTGCTCCACTATACATCCTTGTGCTGGATGTGCGCTTTGTGTCCATTTCCTGTTGCTGCTATAACAAATCTCTACAAGCTCAGTGCATGAAACAACACAGTTTTTTAAATAATCTTACAGTTGTGTAGGTCATCGATCTGAAATGGTTTCATGGGGCTGGAACCAAGATGGCAGTAGACTGGGTGCCTGCCTGGGTTTGCTTCTATTGGATTCATTTCTTCCTACAGGTAACCCCAGACACCAGCATGTTCTGGCTGTGCCCTTAGTGGTCATCGTCTTCCTCGCCATCCTTCTTTTCTTCCTCACTCGTCAGTGGTGCCCTCCCAAAGAGGGTGAGTCTTGGGAAGTAGAGGCTAGTGCCTGTCTGGGGAGGAGTGGGGGAGTGGGGGGACCTCTGTGTGCAGGCTGACTCCTGGTTCAAAGCAGGAGCCACAGAGGTCGGGCTTTCTAGACAGAACCTCCATGCCCCCATCCTCATCAACAGAATGGAAATAGGGAGACACGAAGGGGATACATCTTTGAACTTCAGAGAGGTAGAACTTCTGACTCTACTTTGTGGCAGTAATTCCAGGCCTTCGCTGTACCTCTCTGTGCTTTGGTATCTGTATCTATAAAATAAGAACCTTCCAAGTTTTTCTGATGACTTCCATTCCTTGCAGATGCTGCTATAATGAACAGAGAACCTGAAGTGGATAGAATGGTGAGCAGGGAGGTAGGTTGTCCTCACCTCACCCTCTTCAGGGCCATCTCATCTCCTCTAAATCCCCTGAGTTTGTGCTCATCCTCTTAACCATTTCCTGTCATGCAGGACCCTCAAACAGAAGACCCACAGGAAGTGACATACACGCAGTTGGATCATCGCATTTCCATGCAAAAAAACACCACTCTTACTTCCCAGAGGCCTGGGGAGCCCTTGCATGATGAAAGTGTGTACATGGAACTCGCAACAGGCTGAGACCAATCAAGGCATAAATCCTATGCCCCAAGAACCCACAAGAAGACTCTGAGGAGGCTCTCCATGGATGCCATAGCACTTTCTGAACACACCCCCCCCCACTCAACAACAGGCAGAATCGGAAAACAGAAGTCTTCATCTTCCTCTCTTCCTAAGAAGGAATAACAATCTCAGAACCCCCCTAGAAAACCCCCCCCATCCCTTCTAGGATACTATTATGATGATCCAGACATTTCCAATATTGTCCACAAAACCACCTTTCCTTCTCAAGGGTAAGTTCTGACTTGTGTTGTTATGTTATATAAACAAATAAATCTATCATCTCATCAGTCGTGTTTCTTCCTAGCTATTATTGAGTTTCATCTACATGGAATCACATAGTATGCATTTTTGTGACTGACTCCTTTCATTCAACATTGTATGTTTGAAAATTTTTTTAATTTCTTTTTTTAATCATTTTTTAATTTATTTTCAGCATAACAGTATTCATTGTTTTTGTACCACACCCAGTGCTCCATGCAGTCCGTGCCCTCTCTAATACCTGGTTCCCCCAACCTCCCACCCCCCACCTCTTCAAACCCTTCAGATTGTTTTTCAGAGTCCATAGTCTCTCATTGTTCACCTCCCCTTCCAATTTCCCCCAAATGCCTTCTCCTAACTCCCCATATCCTCCATGCTATTTGTTATGCTCCACAAATAAGTGAAACCATATGATAATTGACTCTCTCTGCTTGACTTATTTCACTCAGCATAATCTCTTCCAGTCCCGTCCATGTTGCTACAAAAGTTGTTGAGTATTCATCCTTTCTGATGGAGGCATAAGACTCCATAGGGTATATGGACCACATCTTCCTTATCCATTTGTCCGTTGAAGGGCATCTTGGTTCTTTCCACAGTTTGGCGACCGTGGCCATTGCTGCTATAAACATTGGGGTACAGATGGCCCTTCTTTTCACTACATCTGTATCTTTGGGGTAAATACCCAGTAGTGCAATTGCAGGGTCATAGGGAAGTTCTATTTTTAATTTCTTGAGGAATCTCCACACTGTTCTCCAAAGAGGCTGCACCCACTTGCATTCCCACCAACAGTGTAAGAGGGTTGCCCTTTCTCCACATCCCCTCCAACACATGTTGTTTCCTGTCTTGCTAATTTTGGCCATTCTAACTGGTGTAAGGTGATATCTCAATGTGGTTTTAATTTGAATCTCCCTAATGGCTAGTGATGATGAACATTTTTTCATGGGTCTGATAGCCATTTGTATGTCTTCATTGGAGAAGTGTCTGTTCATATCTTCTGCCCATTTTTTGATATGATTATCTGTTTTGTGTGTGTTGAGTTTGAGGAGTTCTTTACAGATCCTGGATATCAACCTTTTGTCTGTACTGTCATTTGCAAATATCTTCTCCCATTCCATGGGTTGCCTCTTTGTTTTGTTGACTGTTTCCTTTGCTGTGCAGAAGCTTTTGATTTTGATGAAGTCCCAAAAGTTTATTTTTGCTTTTGTTTCCTTTGCCTTTGGAGACATATCTTGAAAGAAGTTGCTGTGGCTGATATCAAAGATATCAGTTCTCCTCTAGGATTCTGATGGATTCCTGTCTCACATTGAGGTCTTTTATCCATTTCGAGTTTATTTTTGTGTACGGTGTAAGAGAATGGTCAAGTTTCATTCTTCTACATATAGCAGTCCAATTTTCCCAGCACCATTTATTGAAGAGACTGTCTTTTTTCCCACTATATATTTTTTTCCTGCTTTGTCGAAGATTATTTGACCATAGAGTTGAGGGTCCATATCTGGGCTCTCTACTCTGTACCACTGGTCTATGTTTGAAATTTAATCCTATCCATGCATGTAAGAGAAGTGTCTTCCCTCCTGTGTAGGAATCCATTGTGTGACTATGTCACAGTTATGTATCTAGTCATGGTAAGTCTCTCAAACTCTGATGTCTTAAATTTCTTGCCCTCCTTCATCCTTCTAGAATCATCTGGATAGGTTTACCCATTCCTACTGGAATCTGGGAAGCCATGCTAGGGCAGGTCCAAACATCCTCAAGTGAGAGACACCTGGTAACTCTTGTTGGTTGCCAGAGAGCACCTGGCTGGTGTCCCCAGCATGGGGACTGGCTCTCTCCCACCACCTCTGCAGCTCCCACTTCAGGGCACATTAAAGGGTCCCATGCACACCATGTCTCAACTCAGTATAGACGATTGCCCCCAAGGCTCAATCAAGGAGATCCAGTAGGAGCAAGTGGATCTATCTGGATGATTCTGGAAAAACAAAACAGTGTAAGAAATTAAGACATCTGAGTTTGGGAGGCTCATTAGAACATAGGTCTAGCAATATTTTGAATGCAGAATTAGCATCAAAGCTAGTAAACATCTTTGTTAGTGAACAACAGTGAAAATGATAGGTGTCTTTGTGGCAATGACAGGAATTCACACCTTTTTGAGCACCTGTTTAATGAAATGTGCTTTACGTATGTTTCCTTGATGAATCTTTATGTAAAATTTGCCAGAGCTCCTTGTTATCTCCACTTTGCAAAGTAGGGAAATTCAAAGAGATTAAGTGCCTTGCAAAAGAGAAGATGTGTCTTGTCAAAGGCCACACAACACAGCACAGTTGTTGACCATCATGGGGCCCCAAAGAGAAGACCCCTGAGCCCATCCATACCACCCCCTATAAACAAAGGTCACACCTTGGATTTAGAGGATTGTTCCAGATATGGACTTTAAAACACACTTGAGTTTAGGAACCAAGTATGGCCTTGGACTTGGCTCAAAAAATTTCCAGGAAGTCAGTTAATTTTGTTCATCACACATTGTGGGAAAACAGCTACAATTAGAAAGGAAGTTTTTCAGCTTCCTCTTCCTTGAAATCAGTTTGTAGAGGGACCTGAACAGTGATGACAGGGCCTGACAGACCGCACCCAGGGTATGGATCAGTTCTGTGGGGCTCCTGGTTTCTGCACAACATAGGTGTACAATAACCAGGGAAGGAAAACAAGCATGTTATATCTTACTGAGATCTCCAAGGGGAAACATGGTGGAGTTACCTGGAATTCCCCAGACATCAGGCATGCATGAACCCATAATTATCACATGGACAACTGAGGTTTTCTGCAACCCCAGCCTAGATGTGGCTTTTTGAGCAGAGTTTCAGCATGGATGCTAGGGTTAAGGCAAGAGTTTGGAAGAGAGGTTAAGTCTCCAGGTAGCTTCTCATGAAGTGTTATGAATGAATGTGAGAAGGCAAGTTTTTCCTCCAGACTACAGTGTCTTCCTCCTTGGTAGAGAAGCAAGAGATTCCTTCAGGGTAGTTGGAAGGAAAAAACAGGGTGTTTAGGATAGGTTTGATTCTGGGAGGAACTTGTTGAGACCTCAGGGTTAAAGGAACACTTTGAGGATTTGTGCTTGGAAATGTGCTCTAGAGGCCTTCCCACTGGACTGATCTACGTTCTGCGACCCTAAGTGGGGCCTACATCCTGTAGAACCTAAATGCCTCAAGGAAGGGAGGTGGGATGCTGTGGGATGTATGAAGCTAAGTGATGTCTCAGAACAAGGTCCAGTTCCACAGCCCGCATGTGCCAACAGATGGTGCAGGACACTGGTTCTCAGTTGGGGCAATATTGCCCACCAGGAACCATTATGGCAATGTCTGAAGACATTTTTAGTTGTCATGACTGTGGAGGGGGTTGCTACTGGCATCTACCACGCAGAGGTCAGGGATGCTGCTCAACACCCTTCAATGTCCGGGATGGCCTCCTCCACACACACAGGGAGCAAAGAATCCTTCTCCAGCTCCAAATGTCAATAGTACTAAAGCTGAAAAAACCTGTGTCTAGGATACAATGCTGGTCACCATTTCAAAACACTAGCAGCTGGGAAATGTGATATATCCTGAAGTAAACTCATTTTTTTTTCAATGACAAAGGCATATTTTATTAGACAGTGATCGATATATATTATAACTATATATATAGATAAATAGATATATGATGTAGTTATATAGATAGATAGTATAGTTATATGTATATCTAGATATAAATAGATATTATAGATAGATATATCTTATAGCTAGATAGCAACACTTCCATTTATTCTCTGACATACAACATAAAATATTCACATATCAGTATATACTAAGAAAAGCAACTTTCACCATTTCTCAAAGTAGATCCCTCGGGTCTTTTCAAGTCGGCCCTTCCCTCAAGGGTAAGTCACTATGTTCCTACAAGCAAATAGAAAAATCCACGCTCTATCGATCACTGGAATGTAACAAATTGGTCATGATCATCTCATCCCAGGATGAAGTGATCAAATAACCTTAGCATCTCCCCTGGAGAGTCCAAGACATGCTTCAGAGATCAATATTTTTTGGATGTTTAACAATTAAATTTTATTTTGCTCCTTCTTAGCTGCAGGGTCTTTGGCAAAGTCATTTCTCTTGAAGACTCATTTTCACTGTTTTTAAAATCTGACTGTTGGTGGTGCCTTCCAAAAGATGGGAGAAGCTCACTTTGGGCATTTGGTGTATTGGAAGGCAAGAGTGTATGTATTATAATGAAAATGTGGCAAATGTTAGAGAATTTGATTTGGAATATTTGACTTCCCATCCCATCTTACAGCTAAATATCTATCTATCCAGTATCTGTATCTAGATATATAGATAAGAATAAGTATAGGTATAAGACTTTCTTTCCCTACAGATGATGAATAGCTCCTGAGAAAATTCCTCTGCATGCTGGCATAAAGAAAATCCCCTGTGTAAGAGTATATTGTCTTCCTGATCAAGCCCAAGGGGATATACTTAGTCCCTGAATTCCAGAGAGGGCACATGGATCCATAACAGGCAAAGACATGTGGCTTTTGACTAATGGTCCAATGAAGACGAATCTCTGTCTGTATGGCACCATCTGACACTCTGTCCCAGGCCCCTCCACTTGGACGTGGGCTCTGTTTTAAAGAAGGATTTGAGCCCCAATAGACATCAGTTGAGGAAAACACTCACTTCTCATAGGAAACATAAGCAGTAAGATTGGCCTCCTCTCAGGCCCCACCCAAGAGCTATCCAGAACTAAGTTCTTGGGAAGGAACCATTATTTGTGGGGCAATAGATGGAGAAATTCTCTGACCAGAGACTCTGACCTCATACTTCCTGCTGATCTATCTTACTGTCTACAAGATCTCTCATTCTGCAAATGTACACCAACAAGAGACTAACTGGGCTGAGGCTGTTTCAGAATCATGGATCCCAGAGACACCATCCTTCTCTGTTTTGGTGAGTCCCCAAAAGCAAGTGGGTCCAGGGGAAGGAGGGGGAGTTCCAAAACAGTAAATGTCCCTCTTACTATGAGGACTCAGAAGATTCTAACCACCATATTGGAGAGTTGGCCTTTGCCCAGGTGTCTATAACTGTGTCTGCCCAAATCCAAGTAGCTTATGGGACCTATTCAACCCATGTAATGCTGTCTAGAGATCCATGAGGGGTCCAGAATTCCTATAGATGAGAGCCGTAGGGCCTGGAATCTAGAAGATAAAACTAAAAGATGAGCCTCAAAGCGATGCTTGCTGTGGAAGAAAAAAAATTACACCCTGCATGTCATTAAGCAGGGTGACTTGAAATAAAGGTAGAAACTGGAGAACTGATCTCTCATGAATCTCTCTCTTCCAGTGCTCTGTCAGAGCCAGAAGATTTGGGCACAGGAAGGTAAGTGTTCTGCTAACTCTCTCCAAGATACCTTATATCTTAGGACAGAAGGGTTGGAAGAGCAGTCAAAACCCCAAGCAAATTCCAATTTTATTCCCCATCCCAGCCATCTCTGCTGTGTTCCCCTCTCCAAACACATCTCACTCAGACCTGGATTTAGTGTTTTCTTCCATTAGTGTTTTCTTCCATTGTCTTCCCCAATATCAAAGACACATATTTAACTGACTGTTCACAACTTCAGGGGTGAGGAAGTTGGGAACCATTGGTGATTGCCCAGTATCTGTCCCTGTGTCAGACCTGCTTGTTTTCACAATCTAATTCTCTCCACTCTAACCACTTTGCTTCATCTAATGGGATGTTACCTTAGTCCCACCCTCACAAGCTGTCTCTGTACCGGACACCAAGTAGCTCTCAAGTATGAGTGTATGTTGTCCCCTCCACTACTGTCTTGTCCATCCATGTCTTCTCTCTTCCAGCTCCTTCCAAAGACTGTAGATTGGATTACTTGAGTGTTTAAAGCACAGGTATCTTTATCTCCCTCCAACCCCTCAGGGATCAAACTTCAGATAAATCTACTGACATGACTGGTTCTCCCAAGCGCTGCCCGCACAAGCTGCATTTGCTCCCCCAACCCATCTTCTGCTCTCCCACTGAAACTCTGCTCCACACCCATGCAGAACTTACTTTAATTTGTCCCTCACTTATTTGTACTTTATTAACCCTTCTCCCATCGTCCCTTCTATCCACAATGCTCCTGATCTACCCATCCACATTGCCTAGTCAAATGCTACTCATCCTCATGTATCAGCTGAACCCTTACACTATTATCAGACTTCCAAGATCTACATCTCTGCACTGCAAACTGTGTGTCATGACCTGTGATTATATACTTTTTTATTTTTAAATTTATTTTATTTTTATTTTTAAAAAATTAGTATTGAGTTTGAGAAGTTCTTTATAGATCCTGGATATCAATCTTTTGTCTGTACTGTCATTTGCAAATATCTTCTCCCATTCCGTGGGTTGCCTCTTTGTTTTGTTGACTGTTTCCTTTGCTGTGCAGAAGCTTTTGATCTTGATGAAGTCCCAAAAGTTCATTTTTGCTTTTGTTTCCTTGACATATCTTGAAAGATATATCTTGAAAGAAGTTGCAGTGGCTGATATCGAAGAGGTTACTGCCTATGTTCTCCTCTAGGATTCTGATGGATTCCTGTCTCATGTTGAGGTCTTTTATCCATTTCGAGTTTATCTTTGTGTATGGTGTAAGAGAATGTTCGAGTTTCATTCTTCTATATATAGCTATCCAATTTTACCAGCACCATTTATTGTAGAGACTGTCTTTTTCACTGTATATTTTTTCCTACGTTGTCAAAGATTATTTGACCATAGAGTTGAGGGTCCATATCTGGGCTCTCTACTCTGTTCCACTGGTCTATGTGTCTGTTTTTATGCCAGTACCACGCTGTTTTGGGGATCACAGCTTTGTAGTAAACCTTGAAATCAGGTACTGTGATGCCCCCAGTTTTGTTTTTCTTTTTCAACATTTCCTTAGCAATTTGGGGTCTCTTCTGATTCCATACAAATTTTTGGATTATTTGCTCCAGCTCTTTGAAAAATATCGGTGGAATTTTGATCGGAATGGCATTAAAAGAATAGATTGCTGTAGGCAGTATAGACATTTTAACAATGTTTATTCTTCCGATCCAAGAGCATGGAATGGTCTTCCATCTTTTTGTGTCTTCTATTTCTTTCATGAGTGTTCTGTAGTTCTTCGAGTACAGATCCTTTACTTCTTTGGTTAGGCTTATTCCCAGGTATCTTATGGTTCTTGGTGCCATAGTAAATGGAATCGATTCTCTAATTTCCCTTTCTGTATTTTCATTGTTAGTGTATAAGAAAGCCACTGATTTCTGTACATTGACTTTGTATCCTGCCACATTACTGAATAGCTGTATGAGTTCTAGTAGTTTGGGGGTGGAGTCTTTTGGGTTTTCTGACATTTCCCACATCATCATTCCCTTAAAGGTCTTACCCCAGTTGTGTAGATCAAGGTTTGTCAACCTCAGACCTATCGACATTTAGGGGCAGATAGTCCTTTGTTGGGAAGGAAGTCCTGTGCATTGTAAGACCCCTTGCCTTTATCCAGTAGATGCCAACAGTGCTTCCCGTCCCATTTCTGACAACTAAAAATGTCCCCAGACATTGCCATATTGTCCCCTGGGAGGCAAAATTGCCCCTGATTGAGAACCACTGGTTTAGGTCAAGGTATTAAGTGAACACTGTGTCTGCATTAATGGAGGCATCACTCCACATACTTTGGAAGAAAAAAAAAGCACAGTTGTATTGGTGAATGAATAATACTGAATAACAGGAAATCCTGCAATTTTTGGTAAATACAGTCATCACCTTCCATGGCCACAGGGAGTAGGCTGGTTGTCCTTGATGGCAATCCTCCTGAGCATGGCAGAGTCTTTCCTCCTTCACAGAGCTGCAGTTGGGCACATCACTATCAAGTCTAAAATAGATGATACACCTCAATAAAGGAACCAGCAGGTTGTGAGTTGTTGAGGAGGATTTCCATGGCAACAAAACACTAAGACTTTGTGGCAGACTCATGGTTGCTAAGGGAGGGGCTGTGGGAAGAAAGAGTGGGAAGTGACCTCTTAGTGTGTACAAAATCTCCTCTGGGGTGATAAAAATGCAACAAGGTAGAGGTGATGGTTGGACAACATTGTGAATGAACTAAATGCCACCAAATCATACTCTTTAAAAATGGTTCATTATACACTATGTGAATTTTACCTAAAAAGAAAATTAACATGAAAAGGAAGAAGTTTGTTTCCTCAAAAGGCAAAACAGAATTATCATATGACCCACCAGTTCCATTCCTATGTATATAACCAAAGGAATTGAAAGTAGGGACTAGCATAGATGCCTGTACACCAATGCTCAAATCAGCATTATTCACCATAGCCAAAGATGGAAAAACCCGATATCCATTGGCCTGTGTGGATAATCAAAATGTGGTCTACACAGACATTGGAATGTTATTCAGCCATTCAAACAAAGGGTATTCTGACACATGCCACAACATTTGTGAACCTTATTCAGGATATTATGCTCAGTGAAATACACCAGACATGGAAAGACAAATACTGTATTATTCCACTGATATGGAGTACCTTGAAAGTAGAAAGTAGATCAGCTATTACTGGTGGTTGAAGAAAGAGGGAGTGGGGAGTTTCTGCTTAATGATTATAGAGGTTCTGTCTGGAGTCATGAAAAAATTCTAAAAATAGAGGTCATGTTTTCACAATACAATGAATGTAATTAATGCCATTGAACTGTTCACTTAAAAAATGGTTAAAATGGGGGGTTGGGTTGGTGCCTGGCTGGCTTAGTGAGTAGAGCATGTAATTCTCAATCTCGGTCAGGAGTTCAAGTCCCACGTTGAGTGTGGTGCTTACCCAAAAATTAAAAAAAAAGCTGAAATAGTGAATTTTACATTATATATATTTTACTACATTTAGAAAATACCAAAAGAAAGATTTTCTTATTTTTTTATTATTTTTATTTCTTTTCAGCGTAACAGTATTCATTGTGTTTGCACCACACCACACCCAGTGCTCCATGCAATCCGTGCCCTCCATAATACCCACCACCTGCTTCCCCCAACCTCCCACCCTCCGCCCCTTCAAAACCCTCAGATTGTTTTTCAGAGTCCATAGTCTCTCATGGTTCACCTCCCCTTCCAATTTCCCCAAACTTCCTTTTCCTCTCCATCTCCCCTTGTCCTCCATGCTATTTGTTATGCTCCACAAATGAGTGAAACCATATGATAATTGACTCTCTCTGCTTGACTTATTTCACTCAGCATAATCTCTTCCAGTCCTGTCCATGTTGCTACAAAAGTTGGGTATTCATCCTTTCTGATGGAGGCATAATACTCCATAGTGTATATGGACCACATCTTCCTTATCCATTTGTCCGTTGAAGGGCATCTTGGTTCTTTCCACAGTTTGGCGATTTTTAAGAGGAAAGAATTGCAGGTCCTTCACACCTTAATTTATTTGTATTCTGCCCACAGATAAGGAAAGAAGTATGGTTTCTCCACAGCAGACTACCTGAGTCTGGGCTCTATTTTCTTCTAGGGGATTTTCCTATTCCTGTCATATCTGCCACACCTGGTTCTATGATTCCCTGGAATGAGTCTGTGAAGATCCTGTGTTGGGGGACTCCTGAGTCTTACTTGTACCAACTGGAAATCCTGAGAAACTTCACATTCAAGGTGGTGGAGAAGAAACTGGGATTTCAGAATGAGGCTGAATTCCTCATTAAACACATGAATCCAAACACTGCAGGGCGTTATCAGTGCAAGTATAGGAAACAGGACCACTGGTCAGAGCACAGTAAAGCCTTGGAGCTGATGGTGACAGGTGAGAACACATCCAGAGTCTCCAGTCCTCGGGTGTTTTTTCTTTCTTATTTTTTCATAGACTTGACTTTTATAACAGGTTTTCAGGTTTCAGAAAAAATTGAGAAGATAGGACAGAGCAGCCCCATATACCTATCACCCACTCTCCCCTTTTGTTGACATTCTGTTGATATGGCACTTTTCTTACCATTAATGAACCCCTCTGGGTAGCTAAGCATGTGCCAGAGTGCACAGTTTATTTAGGTTTCCTTAATAAGGACGGGTGATGGAGAATGGCATGAAGGAGCCATGAAGGAGGGCGCCTGATGTGATGGACACTGGGTGTGGTAGGCAACAGATGAATTATTGATTAGTACATCTGAAACTAATGATGTAGTATATGTTGGCTAATTGAATTTAAATAAAAATTTAAAAGATTTCCATACACACAATGGAATATCACTCAGCCACCAGAAAGGATGAATACCCAACTTTTGTAACAACATGGATGGGACTGGAGGAGATTATGCTGAGTGAAAAAAAGTCAAGCAGAGAAAGTCAATTATTATATGGTTTCCCTTACTTGTGGAGCATAAGGAAGAGCATGGAGGACATTAGGAGAAGGAAGGGAAAAATGAAGGAGGGGTGGGGAATCAGAGAGGAAGATGAACCATGAGAGACTATGGACTCCAGGAAACAAACTGAAGGTTTTAGAGGGAAGGGGGTCGGGGATGGGTGAGCTTGGTGATAGGTATTGAGGAGGGCACATGTTGTGATGAGCACTGGGTGTTATATACAAACAATGAATCATGGAAGACTACATCAAGAACTAATGATGTACTGTATGGTGACTAACGTAACATAATTTAGTTCATTAATAAAATGTAAAAAAGATTTTCTTAGCTTTTACGCAGCATCCTTCATCTGCCCTAGGATCCCATCCCACACTGCATGCAGTTGTCATATCTCCTTGGGCTCCTCTTGGCTGTGGCAGCTTTGAGGAGGGCTGGTCAGGCACTTCGTAGGATGCCCCACCATTGGAAGTTGTCTTATGTTTCTCTTGTGGTGAGACAGGGTCCTGGGCATCTTGGAGGTAGACCACAGAAGCACAGTGCCATTTTCACCACATCACATTATGGTAGACACCATACACATGAACACAGCTGTTGGTGCTGAGTCATTGGAAGTTGTCTGATGTTTCTCTCGTGGTGAGACAGGGTCCTGGGCATCTTGGAGGAAGACCACAGAAGCACAGTGCCATTTTCACCACATCACATTATGGTATACACCATACACATGAACACAGCTGTTGGTGCTGAGTCTGAGCACCTGGCTGAGGGAGCACGTGCAGGTCTCTCTTCCTGACCCTTCCTGTATGGGAAGAAATCAGTAAAGGCAGCCTGTGCCTAAGGAGGGGGAAGTTATGTTCCCCAGACAAGTCCAGCCCTAGATGTTAAGCTCTCTGTCCTCAGGGTGGCTTGACCCTGTGTTTCTAGAAGAGTTTGTTTCTAGAAGTGTTCATTCTGAATTTCCCAGTCTTTTCACCTGCTAACGTTCTTTTTACACAATGTTGCCTCTCTCAGCCTCTGACACAGCTCCTCAAACTCTTTGGATACTATCCCTCACTTTCCCCAAATATGGCTTGTGGTGTTGGGATTTATAATAATAACTATATATTTGGTCTTTGCTCCTGTTCTGGCACAGAGCTCTTAAATCCCTTGGAATCTCCTGAATGATTAAGAAAGGTAAAGGTGTTTTGACATTCCTAACAAACCCCTTCCCACCGTAGTTGAGGTTAGGTTAATGAGGTGACTTTTGGACTCCACAGTAAGGACAGAGGCTGGTTGCCAGGAGAACCAATCATGTGACTACAATGTTAGAACTTTCCATCCCACTTACCTCCACCTCAAGGGAGCAGGGAGGGGCTGGAGGTTGAATCAATGGCTAATGGCCAAAGATTTAATCAACCATACCTAGGTAATGAAGCCTCCGTAAGAAACCAAAAGCCCAGGGTTCAGAGAGCTTCCAGGTTGGTGAGCACGTGGTAGAGCAGCACACCTGAAGAGGGCACCCGGCCTTATGCATCGCTACCATCTGACTGTCCCTGATTGTATCCTTTACAACAAACCAGGGATCTAGCAAGTAAGCTGATTTCCTGAGCCTGTAAGAAGGTCTGGCAAATCAAATGAACCCAAAGACGGCGTTGTGGGAACTTTTGATTTACAGCCATTCTGCCAGGACCACAGGTGACACAGGGGACTTGTGATTGGCATCTGAAGTGGGAGCAGTCTCAGGACTGAGCCCTTAACCTGCGGGATCTGATGTTGCCTCCAGGTAGATAGTGTCAGAATTAAGTTGAATTATGGGATGCCCGCTGGGTGTCTCAGGATTGCTTGGTGGTGTCAGGGGGAAACCCCACATGCTGTACTTGGAACAGAATCACATGGGTCTTATGGCTCCAGAAACAAGATCTCTATCTCTTGAAGATGGCGTCTCATCCAAGCCCCAGAGGCTGCTTGTTTGCTAAGCTCTGTCTGCAATATTCTGGAACAGAGTATGGGTCCTGGGGTAGGGAAATGGGATGTTCCCAGCTCCCACTCCTTTGGGTCAGGGACCATCAGCGTGTTCCCTTCTCTTACCATGGCTCCAATAGGAGTGGTGGGTATAAAGGGGAAAGGAAGAAAAATCTTGCTAAGAGCTCACTCTCTTCTCTTTCAGGCTTCTACAACAAACCCTTCATCGCTGCTGACCAGGATACTGTGGTGATGCTAGGGAAGAACATCTCCCTGCAGTGCAGTTCAGCACACATCCCATTTGATAGATTTTCACTGACCAAGGAAGGAGGAGCTGCCCTGGGGGACAGAACCAAACTGGGGGACACCAAGGCGACTTCACAGAACCAAACTGGGGGACACCAAGGCGACTTCATTCTAGGTCCTGTGAACCAAAGCTTCTCAGGGAACTACAGGTGCTATGGTTGGTACAGTGGAAGCCCTTATGTGTGGTCAGCCCCCAGTGATGCCCTGAGGCTTGAGGTCACAGGTAGGTGCACCCCAACCCAGCCCTGTGTCCTCCTCCCCTGGGGCTTTGGCCTCAGACAGAAATACAAAGATAATCACTGAGAAAGAACAGTGGGGCAGTAGAGACTGTGAAGAGAGAAAGACTTTAACCCATGCCCCATTAGATTTTCATATCATCTCCTAGAGCTCTCCAGATGGTGCCCTTTATTTTTTTTCTTTGCCTTTTTTTTATCGTGTTCTGTTAGTCACCATACATCATTAGTATTTGATGCATTAGTATTTGATGCAGTACCCATTGTATGCATATAACACCCAGTGCTCCATGCAATCCATGCCCTCCTTAATACCCATCACAAGGCTCACACATCCCCTCACTCCCCTCCCTTCTAAAACCCTCAGTTTGTTTCCCAGAGTCCATAGTCTCTCATGGTTCGTCTCCCACATGGTCTGTTGAGAATGGAGCAGCCAAAGTTCAGAATCATGTTAAGGGGTATTGTTGAGACAGTAGATCTCAGGTAACACTTCAAAGATTAACCCATCTCTCTTCACATCCTTAGTTGCATCTGGAAACCCTTAAACTGAACTTCTGTACTAGAGTCTGCTCTGAGTGATTGGCTGGAAACTTATGGCTCATGGGAAGAACTCTAAAAACTCTAACATGAGCCCCATTATCACAGCGGTTGCATCCCTCCACTAAGCAGGAGAAGACAAGTTACAGAAAAAGAAAGCAACTGCTGACTGCTGAGCAGGCCAACCACTTTCATCTCTTGTGCCCACCTTGTCCAGTCACTCTACAAGCTGAGCACATATAATGGTCATGGTACTGTAAGATCATATAGGCTAGAGTGCTCTTTTCATTTAACAGTGCATGGATAATTGGGCATCAATGGAGGAGGAGTGAATTTATTAGTCTTTTTCTTTAGAGCTGATAGTCATTGCATTTTGTCTTAGAAATCATCTATCCCAGTGTCTGGATAATACTAGCCTGTATTATCCTCTCAAACTCAAACTATTTTGCATTTTGTAAGTAGGAACTAATTTGAAATTCCAAATCCATTTGAAATTACTTTCTGAATTTTAACAAGAGAGTTACTATGATTTCTGAGCATTGTCATTTCACAGTATTTTATTATATCTTTGAGAGAAATGTGGGGCCAGAAAGTCCATATAACAAATGAATTTTTTTTAAAGATTCAGAGAATAGCAATGTCTAGTGAACAATCACACAATAGTGGAGATGCAATTTACCTAAGAGTATCTGAAAATTTTCTCCGAGCTACTTCCCAGATACCAACAGTGCTGTATCCTTTGTCATGTATGAAAGAGGAACACAGGTTGTTATGTGGGGTGAAGAAAGTGTTGAGGAAAAAATTCAGCCTTCCAAGTGTATGGAGGTGTTGCAAGGATATGACTAGACTTTGAGGGAAATGAAGAGGGAATGAAAAATAAACACAATATCCCCTAAGCACCTCATTTCCCATTCACAAGACTCCCCTTTGACCCAGGTTCAAAGATTAGGTATGGCGCTCATGAATGCATGATCTCATTGAGGAGGGGTTCTGACTATAATGATGTACCATATGGTGACTGACATAAGACAATAAAAAAATTAAAAAATAAAAGAAATAGGGAAATGAGCTCCTTTTCAGGGCTTCCGGGTTGGGATAAAATGGAACATGACCAATGATTGCTATCTCCTTTGAATTGCATCTGCAGATATAATGAAACAAGATTACACAATGGGAAATTTGATCCGAATGAGTGTGGCAGTGCTGGTCCTTGTGGCTCTCTTGGCCATACTGCTTGAAAATTGGCACAGCCATCAGACTCTAAACAAGGAAGACAGAGCAGATTTTCCTGAGCTGAGCTGGAGTAAACAGAAAGACATGTGGACCTTTGAACAAACCCCTGACAGCCACAAGGTAGACACAAATCACTGAATTAGAAATGAGTCAGCACTTGTGGAGTCCTGCAGAGCTACTGGGAGAACAAAAAAGAGAAAGAGGCACTAACAATTTTGGATCCATTTTCAAACCAATGGTATTTTCTTATACATATCTGATATAGTTGTGCACCACCTTTCTAGATGTTGGTGATAAAATTCTTGGTATAGTCTTGGTTTAACTCATTCCTGTGATAAAAATCATGCAATGCATTCTCAGTTCTCATTGCTGACTGTTTTTCTCCCAGCCTCCACAGAAGGTCTGGCTCAAAATTTCACTCTGTCTTGAATTTATCAGCAAAACTAGATATCCTCACCGCCTTCTAGGTAAGACCTTAACACTTAGAATTCCATAAATTATTAATGCTACTAATTAATTATTAATAATGTCCATTCAACATACCATATATTCCATGACATGTATGCTTCTAGTTTTCCCTACACTGACATTTTTGTATTAACACATGCTTTCCCTGTAGTTAAAAACACTCTCCTGTTCTTTTGAAACTAACATTTCTTTTTTTCTTTTTATTTATTTGTTTAAAATAAATTAATTAACATATAGTGTATCATTAGTTTCAAAGGTAGAGTTTAGTGATTCACCAGTTGCATATAATACCCAGTGCTGCTTACATCAAGTGCCCTCCTTTTTGCCCATCACCCAGTTACCCATCCCCCCCACTTCTCCTCCAGCAACCTTCAGTTTGTTTCCTATACTTAAGAGTCTCTATGGTTTGTCTCCCTCTCTGATTTTGTCTTATTTTATTTTTCCTTCCCTTCTCCTGTGTTTATCTGTTTTGTATCTTAAATCCCACATATGAGTGAAGTCATATAATATTTGTCTTTCTCTAACTTATTTAACTTAGTATAATACCCTCTAGTTCCATCCACATCATTGCAAATAGCAAGATATCATTCTTTTGATGGCTGAGTAATATTCCATTGTATATATGAAACATTTCAAAATGTCTCATGCCTCCAGTGCAAAGTCAATAGATTTGTGAAAACAACCCAAACAAGCATCTCCTCTGGGAATTTTCAATATACTGCTTAGTTTGTTGATTCATCTCTTTGTAGTGTTTCTCATGAGGTCTACATGGCATAAAATATCAGAAATATTTATTGAGATTATGAATAAGGAAGTTGATAAAGGACATGTTAGAGATTGGGCCAGTTAAACTACAAGGAAGTGCCATAGTTTCAGAGGAGGGCTAATCAGAGACTTTACATCAGAGCCAGGATTTGGGCCCAAGAGATGAAAGGGGGTTTGATCCTGACAGAGGGAAAAGATTAGCCTCACACAAATGGTTTTATCCACACCAGGGGCTTGTTTGGAAAAGCATGGTGTAACCCTGGGAATAAAAAGATCCTCCAATCCTAGGAAAATACTATATTATCCTGTAGCCATGGTGACAAGGAGCCACCAGAACTGGGTTTTCACCCATCAACAATGACCACTCGCCTCAGGGAAAATGCCTTGGCCATTCAACCCACCAGCTCCTTGCTTCTAAATGTCAGCCAATCAGAAACAGGTTTACTCGAGTAAGCACTCCTGTGAGTGATAGCCAATCAAAAGTCCCCTTTAAACAAACACCTTTGGCAAATAATTCCAAACCCCAAGAGGGCCAGAGAATCCCCAAAACCATGTCTAGGATCATCTGTAGGCTCTGCTCAGAGTCTCAGAGACATCCCATCTGGCCAGCATACCAGCATAACTCTCCCTTAATATAGTAAAAATAAATTCGAGTCTGCCTTTTTTATTCCAGGCACTGAATGGTGAGTGCATTGGCCTACACAGTTCTTATATAGGGTTGATTTCGGTTAGGTGTAAGGCTTGGCTTAGGGACAGAGTATGGGGACTTCTAGTCACTTCTTTGAAGGAGCATAATGCAACCCTGTGAATTTTATTTTATTCAATCCACCTGTCATGGGAGCAAACATGCTCACAAATGATAAGATTTGATGGGCACCTGCTGGCTCAGTTGGTAAAGCATGGGACTTCTGATCTCGGGGTTGTGAGTTTGAGCCCCACACTGAGTGTAGAGATTACTTTAAAAAAAAAAAAACTTTAAAAAATGTTATGATTTGAATAATGATACAAATATATATAGATACAGAGTTTCAGTTTTGGATGCTGAGAAAGTTCTGGAGACAGATCTCCACAATGTGAATGGGCTTAATGCCACTAAACCGTACTCAAAAATGGTTAAAATGAAACCCTATGTCTGTCAAGGAGCAACTGTCTTTTGGGGTATAGAGTTTAGTTTTGAAAGATGAAAAGTTCCAGAGCAACAATGTGAATGTCTGCACACTAATGTATAATTGCTGAAGGTGGTAAATTTCATGTTATGAATTTTTTGTTACAATAAAAAAAATTTAATAGTTAAAATGGTAAAAAAAAAAAAAAGTTATGTATTTTTTACCACAATTTGTGAAAAGTTCGTTGTGGTCTGTAGAAACTGAAAGTAGATTAGTGGCTGCCTGGATCCTGCAGAGTTGGGGGTGTGGGGGGTAAGGTAACAGGCAATGATAGTCAGTGGGCATTGGGTTTCTTTTTGTGGTGGTGAAAAAATTTTAAAATTACATGGTGGTAACGGTTGAGCAATTCTGTGAATATACTGAAAACCATTGAATTATATAAATAGGTAAATTGTATGGTATGTAAGTCATACCTCAATAAAGTTTTTTTTTCAAGTACCAAGCGAATAAATTGTTAGTGACATCCTTGGAATTGCTCACTCTTTTTTTTTAATTTTTTTAATTTATTTTCAGCATAACAGTATTGCTCACTCTTTAAGAGATTGAGTGATGGCTTGAAATCCATCATCTCCAACATGGCTTACAGTCTCTAAACAGAGATAGTCCCAGGAGTGTGAGCTTAAGACAGAAATGGGCTCAAGAAAAACACGTGGACAAAGTCAAGTCTTTGGAAGGATTTCCCCCTTAGAAAAAGTGGCTATAAAATTGCTCCTATCACATCTCAGAAAATGACAAGCAAACCTACCTGTCTGCAAGTCTGGATGCAGACTTATGAAAAATCAGAAACACAGATATCTTGCACAAGAGTGTGAGGTTAAATTCCATTTCTGAGCTATATAGGACCCAAACCATAAGTGAATGTAAGATTGATTACAGCCTGCTGAGACACCTGGGCCCTCCAGAAGAATCAAATAGAAGGAAACACTTTCGCTACAAGTACACACAACAATATACATTGGAATCCCATAGGTAGGAAAACTCACTGTGAATGACCAGCAATTAAAAATTATAAACATCTTCATTGCCAATTTGGATACCTTTTATTTCTCTTTGTTGTCTGATTGCTGTTGCTAGGACTTCTAATACATGTTGAACAAGAGTGGTGAGAGTGGGCATCCTTGTCATGTTCCTGATCTCAACAGGAAGGCTGCAAGCTTTTTCCCATTGAGGATGATATTTGCTGTGGGTCTTTCATAGATTTGATGAAGTTCAGGAATGTTCCCTCTATCCCTATACTTTGAAGCATTTTAATCAGAAATGGATGTTGGATTTTGTCAAATGCTTTTTCTGCATCAATTGAGAGGACCATGTGGTTCTTCTCTCTTCTCTTATTAATTTGTTCTATCACATTGATTGATTTGCGAATGTTGAACCATCCTTGTAGCCCAGGGATGAATCCCACCTGGTCATGGTGGATAATCTTTTGTTGGTGGGAATGCAAGTTGGTGCAGCCACTTTGGAAAACAGTGTGGAGATTCCTCAAGAAGTTAAAAAGAGAGCTTCCCTATGACCCTGCAATTGCACTACTGGGTATTGACCCCAAAGATACAGATGTAGTGAAAAGAAGGGCCATCTGTACCCAAATGTTTATAGCAGCAATGGCCACGGTCGCCAAACTGTGGAAGGAACCAAGATGACCTTCAACGGATGAATGGATAAGGAAGATGTGGTCCATATACACTATGGAGTATGATGCCTCCATCAGAAAGGATGAATACCCAACTTTTGTAGCAACATGGATGGGACTGGAAGAGATTCTGCTGAGTGAAATAAGTCAAGCAGAGAGAGTCAGTTATCCTGGGGTTTCACTTATTTGTGGAGCATAACAAATAGCATGGAGGACAAGGGGAGATGGAGAGGAGAAGGGAGTTGAGAGAAATTGGAAGGGGAGGTGAATCATGAGAGACTGTGGACTCTGAAAAACAATCTGAGGGTTTTGAAGGGGCGGGGGGTGGGAGGTTGGGGGAACCAGGTGGTGGGTATTAGAGAGGGCACGGATTGCATGGAGCCCTGGGTGTGGTGCAAAAACAATGAATACTGTTACACTGAAAAGAAATTTTTAAAAAAAGGAGAAAGAAGATACAAAACAAAAAAAAGAAGCTAAAAAAAATTGTAAACTTCATAAGGAAACAAAGAAACCACAAAATATAATGAAGGAATTAGCAATACTAAGGGAGAGATACAGAACTGTCATATGCCTATGCAAATTATTAAAATAGTAGTTAAAGAAGAAAGCCAAAGGGAATCAAGATTAGACCCATTCTCTAAAGTACAGACCCAACCCCAATTAGGGCTATGCCATAGAGATAATAGCCTGATTCTTTCTGGTGCCAGGAGGTTGACTTGAATTCCAAGGATCTTCCCCAACTTTTGAAACAGTCTCACAGGAACATGTTATCAGGCAACCAGCCTCTTGAATAGACTCTCAAACTCTCTGAAGGGATAAGTAGCAGATCTTTCTCACCATACCAAGAGAACTACTTCTCTGCCCCTGGTCACTTTATCCCCAAAGGACAACTAGCTCTTTCCTGACATAGGAACCCACTCACTAGGAACCTTACCTTCATGCTATGAATGAGCTTTGGGCTGATAATGATGAGTAAATTAAGATGTATTATGGGAGAGAAGTGAGACAAGATGCCCTCTTCGCCCAGAGACACCTTTGTCATCTACAGGCAAGCCTGCCTCATTGTCTCCTTTGAACTAGCAACCACTGCCTTCCTCCTCCATGGTTTGGTATCTAAATGTTTCCATAGGTCAAATGTGATTTTAAAAATAAAAAACAAAAAAACATAAAACAAAACCATAGCATATAACCAGGTTTCTCACATGCATTGGGTTTGCCTTCTCTCTAGAAATGTGGTCAACATAAAAAAATCTCCAGTGGGTGGCCCTGGGTCCTCACCCACTACTTCTTCTGCACCCATATTTCCTGTAAGTTTATTGAGGCTAAGTTTCCTAAATGATGCATACAGGAAGTCAGCTGGAAGAAACCCCTTGCTGCATCCTTGGCAAGTCTTAATGGGGAGGACAAGACAGTACCAATCCAGTCTATGGCCCTTTATACAGGGAGAGCAGAGCTTCTGATTTTAGGTCTAAAATCTACTCCCAGGAGTAGATGCACAAGCTATGATCTCAATCAAAAGTGACCATCTCACTTGAGCTTTTCTTCTCCAGCCTGGCTTCTGAGAAAGATGCTATAGATACATGAGAACGATGCCCTCCCTCAAAATGTAAGGACATTCTGGTGGAGACCATCTAGACAGTTGGGGGGCGTGGGGAGGGTTGTTGGCTGGCTAGAGAAGAAGGGTTCTGGAATTTGGAGCCAAGGATTGGAGGCAACAAAAAGGAATGGAATAGAAACCCTATCATTTGCAACAACAGGAATAAACCCACGGGGCATTCGCTAAGTGAGATAAGTCAGACACACAAGAACAAACACTAACAATACCATTAATACAAGGGCAAATCTGTCCTATATTTTGACTTAGGTGTTGGTTACATGACTATATACATTTATCAAAACTCATATAGAACTGAACAGGAAATGAGTGGGTTTTACTAAATGTAACTAAGAGAGTGAATGGAATATATTCAACAACAAAATCAAGAAATAAGAACAAAGGTAATAGATTGGGTGAGATTTCCTCATAGAATGTAAGGCAGAATATAAATTGGCATTATATTTCATTTTCAATAATTGTTTAGACCCTTTGAGGATAAAAAAAACATTTTTTAAAAAACTTTATTTATTTATTTGACAGACAGAGATCACAAGTAGGCAGAGAGGCAGGCAAGGGGTGGGGAAGCAGGCTCCCTGCTGAGCAGAGAGCCCTATTCAGGGCTTGATCCCAAGACCCTGGGATCATGACCTGAGCCAAAGGCAGAGGCTTTAACCCACTGAGCCACCCAAATGCCCCTAAAAACACATTTTGAGTTTTAAAATATATTCAAATAATTAAGATTTTAATATTTAATTTCTGTTTTATAACAGACTAAAGGAATATACTTATGTAAGAAACAACATTTTGTTTCAAGTTCAATTTGTTGTTGTTGTTGTTGTTTATGTTGTTTTTGTTTTTGTTTTTCTTTTCAGCATAACAGTATTCATTGTTTTTGTACCACACCCAGTGCTCCATGCAGTCCGTGCCCTCTCTAATACCCACCACCTGGTTCCCCCAACCTCCCACCCCCCGCCCCTTCAAAACCCTCAGATTGTTTATGTTTTTTTTAATTATGTTACATTAGTTGCCATACAGTACATCATTGGTCTTTGATGTCATGTTCCACGATTCGTTGTTTACATATAACACCCTGTGTTCCGTGCAATACATGCCCTCCTTAATACCTATCACCAGGCTCACTCATCCCCCACTCCCTCCCCTCTAAAGCCCTCAGTTTCCCAGGGTCCATAGTGTCTCATGGTTCGTCTCCCTTCCAGTTCCCCCGCTTCATTTTTCGCTTCCTTCTCCTAATGTCCTCCATGCTATTCCTTATGTTCCACAAATAAGTGAAACCATATGGTAATTGACTTTCTCTGTTTGACTTATTTCACTCAGCATAATCTCCTCCAGTCCCGTCCATGTCAATGTAAATGGTGGGTATTCATCCTTTCTGATGGGTGAGTAATATTCCATTGTGTGTATGGACCACCTCTTCTTTATGCATTTTGTTGAAACATTGTAACAAATCCTTGGAAAAGATAGTGTTATCATTTCATTCTGTTGAAGCCAACCCACTGACCCAAGCATATGCACCAAACAAAGGGGAGCCAAGATTAAACACATATTTTTTTAAATGATTCTAAGGTTTCTGCTCTGTACACTACCCTATCCCTTTCCTGGGCGTAATGTCCACATTTCAAAATAGGTCAAATTTTGACCTATTAGAAGAGGACCCTAATATGAGTTTCAGGTGGGGCAGACAATTGTCAGAGGATCTGGTTAGAGCACAGAGATGATCAGATGTGTCATGGGGACCATGACCTGTCTTTATGCCTCGTGGTCAGAGGTAGAAGGAAGACTGTGAATCTTCTTGTAAGAAGTCCGTGTGAAAGCCCCATGGCGATTAGTGCTGGGCTTCACCCACCACATCCTGTGCACCTTCCTGCCCTACTGGACTCAGTCTCCACCCAGCTGCTCCACATTCGCCTGGTAGGATCAGTGCTATGACCTCTACACTCACTGCCCTGGTCTACCTTGGTGAGTTCTTGCACATGAGAGAGATGGCATCCAGGGGTCTGGGTGTGGATGGGGCAGCCTGTCTCACTGTTTCTATCTTCCAGGGCTGTTCCTGAGCCAGACCGTCAGGACCGAGAAGCGTGAGTCCATCCCTCATAGGCCCAGAGTCTCTCTACTAGGCTCAGACAAAGTGTGCACCTAGGAGCCACCAGAGGAGAGAGCAGGGCCTCTGGTTTTCTAGGAAGGCTTGGTGCCAGCAACCGGGTGGACATTTGGGTGGGAAGTTGCTATATCTGGAACTCCAACCTCTGATTCCCTTCCAGAGAATCTTTCAAAACCCATCATCTGGGCCAAGCCAGATTTCATGATTCCGAAGGGAAAGCAGGTGCTTATCTTCTGCCAGGGGACTCCTGAGGCTGTGAAGTACCAGCTGTATTTCGAGGGACACCTCTTTCTTCAGCAGAGCCCAAAACAACTTGGAAGGAGGAACATAGCCATGTTCCACATCCCAGCCATGACCCCACTCACTGCAGGGCAATACAAGTGCATTTACCGAAGCAAGAAGCTCTGGTCAAACCCTAGTGACCCTCTGGATCTGGTGGTCACAGGTAACTGTCCCATCCTCGGCCTGAATCCGGGGAGGGTCATCACATATTTATTAATCCTCTTCAGTGTCATTCAGCCTCTCTTTGTGGTTGTCTGTGACCTAGAGGCAGGTTGGTCATAGGTCAGGTTCTCCAGGTGAGAGGCCCTGAGATGGATGTGTGTGTGCATGGGGCAGAGGCTGGGGGGAACCATGGGGGGTATCCTCAAAAGTGACCCCGGTGATGAGGAGTGAGGGGAACAGGCCAGGCAAAAGGCAGGAGCTGACCACAGTGCAGTTTCAGCAGTCACCTCAGCCGAGCAATGGAGTTCTGGACTTGGGATGGTCCTTCTGGATCTGGGATGGTCCTTCTGCATGGTCTCAAGATCTCAAGATGAGGCTAGGGGTTCTGTACCCACCAGTGTCAGCCCCTCCTGGGGAGGAGGTTCCATTCAAACATCCATGCTTTTGTGGCACTTGTACCCTAGCAGGGGGAAGACAGACCATGAGTCTAAGTCAGGACAAATCAGTCCGTCATGGGCACCTGAGGAATAAATGATATGGAAACAGCCAGAGTGGAATGAGGCTGGGAGGGAAGGCAGTCTCAGGTACAGGGGTTGCCTTCAGCTGAGGGATGTGGCTCCCAAACTCAAGCAGGTATCACAATTATCTGGAAAACACGGATATCTCTAGTGCTCCCAGGTTCATGAAAGCATTGTTCACAATAGCCAAAAGCTAGCAACAAGCCCAGTGTCTACTGACAAAGGAATGGATAAACAAAATGTGGTCTACCCACACTAGGTAATATTATTCAGCCTTAAAAAGGAAGGAGATTCAAACACCTGTTATGTCATGAATAGACCTTGATGGCATTATGCCGAGTGAGATAAGTCAGTCACAGAAGGACAAATACTGTAGGGGTCACTTCCATGTAGGACTTAGGATGGTCAAATTCGTAGAGACAGAAGGCAGAATGTGGGGTGCCAGGGACTGAGGGATGGGGACAGAGAGAGGGTGCTTAGTAGCAGGGACAGTTTCAGTTCTGTAAGATGAAGAGTCCTGGAGATGGATGGTGGTGATGGTTGCATGACAGTGTGAATGTAGTCAATACTACTGAATTGTCCCCATACAATTGGTTAAGATGGTAAATTTTATGTGTCATGTATTTTATAGCAATGGAAAACAATAACAATTTTTAAAACACAGTTGGCTGCCTTACCCCTGAGTTTCTGATGCAGTGGGTCTGGGGTGCATTTCTAATAAGCTTCCAGCTGATGGTGATGTCACTGGCCCCAAGGATCTCTAACTCTGAGAACCACTGATGTCAGGCAATCCCCACAGAGAGAAGGCTAGAGGAATGAGTGTCTCAGTCTTGAAGGGTGAGATCAGCGAGGGCATGTCCATGACCAAAGCAGAGGAGACAGAGATTCTGGGGAGTGACATCCCAGTCTTAAGGCCAAGGAGGAAAGGGCACATAGGAGGCAGGATAAAGACTCTCTTAAACTACCTGTCTCCTTCCCCCACAGAATTGTATGACACGCCCACCCTCTCTGTCCATCCTGGGCCTGAGGTGACTTCAGGAGAGAACGTGAGCTTCTACTGTCAGCTAGGCACTGCAACAAACAAGTTCTTTCTGCTCAAGGAGGGAAGATCCCCTCACCTTCAGCACAGATACGGGAACACCCAGGTGGAGTTCCCCATAGGTCCTGTGACCACAGCCCACAGAGGGACGTACAGATGTTTTGGCTCTTATAACAACCATGCATGGTCCTTTCCCAGTGAGCCTGTGAAGCTCCAGGTCGCAGGTGAGGAAACCCCCAGATTTCCCCCATGTCCTCTCCAGAACCCCAAGCGAACCCCAACCAGTGATGAGGAAGACAGCAAAGGGACAGGTGGGAAGAGGCAGCAGGCACCTCCCTGCAGTGCCCTCCCCCACATGCATTTTGGGGAGGCCCAGCTGATTGTTTCTGAGGAAGAGGAACAAGGAGGGGGAAGATGCAAGGACTCGGTGGGAAGACTGGAGGAAACCCAAAACCCTTATGGTTTTCTTTGTTTCCACTGCTAGAAGATTTTGGGGACACCAGCCTTGCACCCACAGAGCACACCTCTTTTTCTGGTGAGTAAGTTACCTCTAAACTTGGGGGGGTGATTAGAGCCTCCCAGTGACACTAAGAACATGTTGCTTTTATGGCACTTGTATCCCAGTGGGAAACAGACCTTGAGTCAAAGTCAGAGAAACAAGCCCAGCATATAGCACAGGGGGAGCAAACAGGGGTGTGGAGGAAAGACAGAGCAGAACAAATGGGGTCAGGGTGACCAGGAGGGCAGGTGGCAATATTAGAACTGTCTGAATCGGCCTCACAGTGGAGCAAATACCTGAAGAACTGAGGACATTTGTTCTGTGGCTACCTGAAAAAGAACATTCCAGAGAGAGGGAATGGCCACTGCATATGGCAGTGGGAGGGCGAGCCCCAGGAGTAATTCCCTGAACCAGGAGTGACCTTGCATGCATGTTAGTGGGGATGGGGAGTGGGCTCAGAGCTTGGAAGAAAATGGGGAGACTGTGAGTCGTCCAACGTGTGAGGAAGAAGCCATGTTGACAGAGTTAATGAGGAAGCTGAGGGCCGGAAGGAAGACATGCCTGGCATGGGGTTCTGGAGCTAGATTCCCCCCGGGTTCACCTGTCCTTTGGCTCTTCTCACCAGACAGATGAAGCCACTAGGACCTGGAGGGTGGGGTGTGGACCTGGAAAATCTGCACGAGGCCATGGGGTCCATCCTAGGGAGGAGAGGAGACCTGGTGGCCAACACGCTCTCTTTTTCTCACTGCTTTACTTCCCTTTCATCCGCAGACTATTGGGATCTTGACTTGGTAACCACAGAGGCAGAATTCGAGCAAGGTAGGCAAGCAGCGGGCGCTGCAAGCTGTGAAGGAGTGTGATCTAGAATGGGGAGAGGGAGAGAGGTGGGGCGAGGTATGTACACCCATTCCTGTCAGTCATCAGTCTGTCCTCTGACCCCAGACCTTGCCTCCTGGGATCACACTGCCCAGAATCTCCTTCGGATCATTCTGGCTTTCCTGGTCCTGGTGGCACTCATGTGCCTCCTGGCTGAAGACTGGCTTTGGAGGAAGAGGGCACAAGAGAAAGCCAACGGGGCTTCAAGTCAGGAACACAGGAGAAGGTTCAGAAGTCAGAGACGCCTGAACAAATGACCAAGAGATGTGCTGGTCCCAGGTAGAGCGGAATGCTGGCCTTGACCCTGAGCTGAGCGAGCTCTGTGTTGTACCCATGAAGGGGGTTTCTCTGCAGACACTGAGGGACAGCTGCATGGAGTCTGGCAAAGCTTCCAGGAGGAGTTGGGCAAGGTGGGATGAAAGAGCTAAATTTCCCTCCAGACAGACCCTCTTGTCTCTTCTGGGGTGTAAGCATTTTTGTGCCTTCTGGATGCGAACTAAAGCTTTAACCACCCTGGTTTTCCCCCAGAATATCTCCTTTGTTAACAGCATGGCCACAAATATTTCCTTCCTACTTTGGTTTTCATCCCTACTTCTTCTTTCCATTACTGCAATATGTCATTCAAGATATTTAATAACCAGTACAGAAAAAAAGTATAGAAAATAATAATAATAACGAGTACAGAAAATAATAGTAATAACCAGTACAGAATAGTCATTTATCAAAAGCAACAGGAGCCAGTGAGGCACCAACAGGTCGAAGGAGATACAGGCTATGAGCACACATATGGCTGAATGTGTCCTGGCTGGGTCTCAGCCTTGCCCCGATTCCTCTGTCCTACACCACTGCAGGCTTCTGTCTTCCTTGCTTCTTTATCCAGACTTTGCCTTCTTCCTTGGGTCTCCCCCAAGAAAGCTCCCAAACCCTCCATCTCAACATCAGATATCACCTCCATGCTCCCAAAGCACTTTCTGTTCATCTATAACAGCACCGGGGCTCTAACATTGCATACATATCCATTTTCCCATCTCTACCATGAATTTGTGTGAATTAAGTCTGTGCTGGGTCTGATTACTGTGCTCACAACTCCTGCCACTAAGAGAGCTCTCCAGAAATATATGTCAGGTCAGTCGGTACACAAATGGGGCAGTAGTGCAACTTACCCCTTGAGACTCATGACTATTGTCCTTGAAATGCTGTCTGGACCCTTTGTTCCTTGAGAACTTTTACTGGATCAACCCATTAATATAACCATGATGTGGGTCCCTTCCCCTGTTAAGACTCTGATGCCTCACACAGCTCAAATCCATTCTCTAAATCTGAGTTTTCTGTTATGCATCAGAGAACATTAATTCCAACCTCAAAGGGGTGACATGCATGTTTAGCAAGATAAAGAATGTCGGGGAACCTGTGTGGCTCAGTGGGTTAAAGCCTCTGCCTTCAGCTCGGGTCATGATCCCAGGGTTCTGGGATCGAGCCCCGCATCAGGTTCCCTGCTCAGCAGCGAGCCTACTTCCTCTTCTTTCTCTCTCTCTCTCTCTCTCTGCCTACTTGTGATCTCTGTCAAATAAATAAATAAAATCTTTACAAAAAAAAAAAAAAAGAATGTCAAGAAACCAGCATAGGCTCTGACACATGGAAGTTAACCCAATGCACTGCAGCTGTGACTGTCCTGAGTACTACAGGGAACTTAAACTCATACCAGTTGTTACCTCAAAACCAGTGGACCAGTACTGAACATCCTTCTTTCTGTTCTTCATCTGCTAGGTGTTCATGGACCAAGGACATCTGTTGATACTAAATCATAATGTTCTTTATCCCAACACATGACGGACTTCTTTGGAGTATGTTTATGACATCCCAGATTTTCCATATTCTAACCTGTGGTAGGAAACCTACAGTTTCAAGGTGGGGGGAAGGTGTAAGGTAGAAGAATTTTGGGTCTCCAGATGTAAGTGTGGGGGCCTGAGAGCCTCCTCAGAGAGGTGGGGGGGTCTTTTCCACACAAGGCTGTTCCCCTCACTCAAAGTCTTCCAAAACTGGCCAACAGGAGTAGACCAGGTGGTTAAGTAGAACATTACTCTTCTTGAAATGTTAACCCAGTTTGTATTCCAGACAGCAAAATGAAGCATGGGGAGGGACGGAGGGAGGGAAAGGCGGCGGAAGTACCGGCCAATTGTTTGTCATGGAGATTTATTGGAAACACTCAAAACACTTCCATTTATTTCTCAGTGGTTAGAACCTAATAGCTTGCCCCACTTGGATACAAGGGAGGCTAAGAAAGATAGCTTTTATTTCAGGTGTCTCTGTGACAAGATAAATAGTGGCATTCCTATGACCAATGGAGTGAGGAGGGACGTGACAGAGTTGTGATAGGCAGCAGCAGTCTCTTTGACAAGACCCTACTATGTGCCGGGCACTGGTGAAATGACCACGTCCCTGGGCTGATTGTCCAGGAGAGCAGATCTTCAAGAGAGTGAGTAAATGCAGTGAAAGGGTTTAAGTTGGGATTGAAGAACTACAGGACGATAGTGGAGATTCTTTTATGGAAAACTCCATTCTGTAGAGACATTGAGGCAGGCATACAGATGAGGAATGGGGATGACGGTGGCAGGTGTCTGCACCAATTCACGCTGAGACTCACAGGCAGGACAGAGGGTGAAAGCACGATGTGTAAGCAGAGCTTTGAGCCTGGGTGACGCTGGGTGCACCACACCAAGCACAGCCATGGAAGCCACATCTTAAATGCCCATTTCTTCCTTCAAGCTAAGGGAGCTCATTGAGCGCTTTGATCATGGCTGTAATAAGATGACTTGTGCACTGCAGAAAGACCCTTCCAGTGACAGAGAGAAGGGAATGCACAGGAGAAAACAAAACCATGGAGAAACAGCACAGTCGAGAATGTCACCTGTTTTTGGAGTTGACAACCAGGGCAATGACTGGTATTGATAACCCGGAGGGAGGTCCAGCGATGGGTGATGGGTCCTGGTCCTGAGATTGGTAATATTTGTTGGTTTTGTTATTTCTCAGGATTGCTTACATTATTCTGAGCCCTTTAGATTTCAATATTAACTTTAAGATGTCAGTTGTCACAAAAGACCAGCCTGGGTTGTGCATGAAATTGTACTAAAGCCACAGATCAATTTAGGGGAGAATTATCATCTCTTCAATCCTCAGTCCATGAAAACTTGCACCCTAAATGTGTTTTATTTCGCTATGTGTTTATATGTTCTCTGATTTCTTTAAATAATATCATGTAGTCCTCTATGTACAAAATGTGCACATCTTTTGTTAGATTTCCATGAGATATATCCTCCAGTTTTATCAGCCCCAGATAGATCCCTAGGTACGTGACTTTTATTTTGCAAGTGGTATCATTCTTTAAATAATTTTACCGCCGTTGTTTGTGCTGGTGTTATAAAAATAAAACTGGATCTTGTTTACCGAATGTGTACTCAGTTGTCTTGCAGAGTTCACATCTTAAAAATTTTAACATTTTTAGATTATTTTAGAGGTATCATTCTTTAAATAATTTTACCGCCGTTGTTTGTGCTGGTGTTATAAAAATAAAACTGGATCTTGTTTACCGAATGTGTACTCAGTTGTCTTGCAGAGTTAACATCTTAAAAATTTTAACATTTTTAGATTATTTTAGATTATTTCTAGCTTTAAAAAATGTTTAGGATTTTTTTTGTAAAATTGATTTCTTTTTTTTTGTCTTACTATCTGGCTGGAACCTCCAGCACATTAATCGATAGTAAGAATCCTTTTCTTATTACCAGTATTATGGGGAATATTTTTAATGTCTTACCAATGAGTAAGCAAATGGCTATAATTTTTTGTAGATATTCATTGTCCCAGTTAGAAAATACTTTTGAGTTATGAATGGGACCTCAAGGTTCAGAACACGGACAGTTATGTGGGGAAACCTTCATCCCCTCTACTCTTACTGGTCCACGGCTCTGAAGACCAGTTTTCTGCTTTGCCCCTCACACTCAGGCGTCAGCCCACCAGGAGGTGGTTTCTCCCCACACAAACATTTCCGCTGAAGGTGTTTTTGTGATAAACATTTATGGCTTCCTAGAACTTGTAGTGGATGCTTCTCAGCCTTGTCTCACCTTTGTTCCTGTGTTGGTTGTATGACCACTTCCTCCCTGAAACAGTTGGCTTCAGCTGGCCTCCTCCACTCGTTTTCTGACTATCCTGCACTATCAGTTTTGCAGGGTTTCTACCACCAGAGCTTGTGGTTCCCATGGTAGACCTGCCTTTCTCTGGACACAAGCTGGGTAGATCTCATTTAATGCCATAGTTTCAATTTCTCTAAGACAGATGCCCAAGTCAAGTCTGTCTCTCTGAACCCTAGATTTTGGGATTTTTTTTTTTGAACTTTGGATTATTTTATCAGGTTCTTCCAACCAACCTGGACTCATCATCCTCCTACCACCAAAGTTGTTCTTCTCATTTGGAAAACTCCCAGCTTTGCTCTCTTTTCTATACCTATGCTTGTGCTCTGATCACTGCCGGGAAGAAGTGCCGTACAAATTAGCAGGTAATGGAACATTTGTCATTTATGTGCTTGTGGGTAGAGATCGATATTTTTATTATTTCTCGTAACAACTGTCCCTTTGGCCATTTGCCTTTTGGAAGTTCAATCAGGTAAAGATCTTATACATAAATATTTTCAGGGGTACCTGGGTGGCTCAGTCAGTTAAGCGCCTAACTGGTGGTTGTTGTTGTTGTTTTTTAATTCAAGTTAGTTGATTCAAGTTAACATGTAGTGTAGTATTGATTTCAGAATTTAGTGGTTCATCACTTACATATAATCCCAAGTACTTATCCCAACACATGCCCTCCTTAATGCCCATCACCATATCAGCTCAGGACTTGATCTCAGGGCTGTGAGTTCAAGCCCCGCATTGGGCTCCATGCAGGGCATGGAATCTACATAAATAAATAAACATTTTTAAAAGATTGTCTTTTTTTAATTTATTTTAATTTTTTTATTTTTCATTACGTCAAGTTAGCCAACATATAATACATCATAAGTTTTTTAAAATATATATATTATATGTTATATATTGGAGGTATAATTTCCTCAGTTACATTCATATCACAGTGTTTTTCTGATATATGGTATCAACTGCAACTCACACTTTGATTTATGTGTCATTGTTGGTAAATGCCTTTGACCTCTCTTCCTCTATTCCACTTAAAAGACCTCAAAAACCCCAACACAAAGGTCTTCAATCTTTCCACCAAATGTCTTTGTCTTTAGATTAGCTATTTCCTCACATACATGCATACATCATATGTCCACACTGTAATAGTTGTTTAACTTTACAATCAACT